GTACCATCATTATTGTACAATTTTAATGGCACGCTAATAGACATGTGTAGGCAAACGCCGCAGAATAATTCAGATCTTCCTTATCCAAATCCAGTGCCCAGGGAATATCCTTACATGGTAAGAAATTTAAACATTGAAATTTTATACTTTTCCATCCGCATAATTATGATTGTAATTTTTTTAACTATGCGCTACCTTTTCTTCCTCAATTTTATTTATTAACATACAATTGTATGTTGACTGCTTGTATTTTTTTGTACTTTTTCGCTGGCGATATAATATCACATTCTTTGAACAGCTGTAATATCTGTCTTTTCTAAAAAATTATTATCCATTTTAATAACTTCAAAGATTTATAGAAACTACAAATAATATAGAAATAATTTCTAAACAATAAACTTAACTTAGTACACAGCCCAAATGTTTAATTTATTTTATTATTTTCAAGAAACAGGGTAAAATATTCTTTGTTTCGGGGATAAGGAATTTTTCCTTCATCAGGAACTTTGAAATTAAATTTTGGTAATTTTAGATTAATTATATAAAAAATATTTATATAAAATATATTCAACATTTACTTATTTTGATAAACAAACTGTATTTTGCATGATCATGTTTAAATGATGTTTAGTTATATTATTAATTTGTGTCATAGATTGCCTTTGCTGTAGGTCTGTTGGAAAACATAGATTATGTCTGCTCCGGAGCTTTGATTAGTGATCAGTATGTGCTGACAACTATTTCATGTGCCAAGGATCCAGTGTAAGTTAATTACTGCATAATATTTATAAAAATAACATCCTGTTTCAAAATAGATCCTTGAATCAAAAATATTTTTTCCTACAGTTTCTTAATTTCTCAGCTTTTTTTCTCCTTCCAAATCGTTAACCACTTCTTCAATGATACTTCTATGATATTTTTTTGGTGGTAACTTATGATGATTTATAAATTTATTTCCAAGCCATATATAATAATATAACAGATTATTGCCATTGCAACATTGTTGCAAATTCCTTTCTCATTTCTCTATTTTCCATAAACCAACGTATATTTTGCAAATTTGCTATAATTTTAAAGAACTATATGCATGAGCAAAATGTATAGTTACTGAAGGAAAAAGTCACCAAGAATTGATTCTTAATAGATTTGATATAGCATATTTTATCCACATAGGCAAAAAATATTGTTGATCTGTATGGATGTCGATTTATGTTGTCTACTTTTAATTTTTAGAAATAAATTCAGGATTTGCACCAAAATTTAGGCGAAATTACTTCTGGTACGTCTACTTCCTAATAATAGCTACCCGAGCTAACCATTTTTCTTCATCTGATGTTATTTATTATTCAAGTTTTATTTCAAAAAATGAAATGAAAGCTTATAAGAGATATTCTCTTTTATTGTCACTTATTTTTTCATAAAAATAAATAAAATCGCAGTGTGTTCGAAAAAATTCTTTAGTTTGCCAAATGCTTTTTCCATTCTATACTAATCGGATCTTGTTGTATTTGTATCTATTTTTTTTGAACAGCTATTAGATGGCCATTGGTCTAATTTTATAAAGTCAAAGCAACGGGATTTTTGTGAACGTAAAGGAGTTTTTCCAAATCAAAACATGATTTTGATCTATATATTTTTTTAGGCGAGGATTTATTAAATGGGCAGTAGCAGGAGACTACAATCTGTATGATGATTTGGATGATGCAGTGCCTGAGTTAAGTGAAGTAGCTTACATTTTCACCAACACACAATCCAGTTCGGACTTGGCTGTTGTTAAACTTAAACACAAGTAATAAATGAATAATTATTATAAATTCATTTTATACAATTTTTATTTTGTGTGCTGAATATTGTGTTATTCATAGATTTCAGTTAACTAGGTATGTTATTCCTGCTTGTTTACCTACGAGTAACGAAAATGTGAACAAGGCTTTTGCCACTGGATGGCATTTGACAAAATATCAAGGGGATATGAGTAAAGTAAATATATTTTGTCTATATTTTACAATTTATAAAAAAAACTTAAATTGATAGAATATATGATCTTAGGCACTACTTCAAATAAAATCTCAATCAGAATGTCAATATTTAATGCAAGGAAGAAATTCTCGTAGTAACGAACCAAAAGTATGTGGAAAACCTGCAATGAAAGCTGATTATTGCCAGGTAATAATAAATATCTGATTTCTGTTATTTTGATTTCAAATTTAAAATTAATATTTTTAATATTTCTGGTATTTTGATTGGCATAAGATCAATTGTTGACAGGTAATTAATTGTTTCAGAGAACAAAAGGTGATCCACTAGTAGCTCATCGACCTGGAATTTATTGTATGTATGACGTTATAGGTATCACTTCATCTCCTGGTGAGCCATGTGATGATGCCAGTATATTTGCCGATGTGAAATCAAATATTGCCTGGATTGAGCAAGTGGTTTGGGGAGAAGGAAAACCATCGAACACTCTCAACCAAGCAATCCAAAATAATATAAAAATGTATAATGTCGCTGATGTGTCAGCCTTACAATCTTTTGCGGGACCAGATAGATCACCCGATAATAATTTTAATACAACGGGAGCGTTTGATTCGACTATAAATTATAATTCGACTAGATGGCAGAATCGAAGAAAACCGCCACCTTTGATAAGACCCAATCATCATACACAAACCGTTCAAAACAACACCAGCACCATGTGTCCCATGGCATCAGGAGGTCAAATGAAATCAGATTGCAATTTTCAACCAAATTCAACTGATGCTGCATCCAGTTTCAACTCTATCAATGATAGACGACCGCAAGAAAACTCACCAGAAGATAGTAGACCATATGCTTTTGAAATTTCTGATATGAATAGAATAGTTTCTCAGCCGATTGGGCAGCGAATAAACGTTGAGCCTAATATGCAACAGAATATTCCAAAGACAGTTTCCATAACAAATGGATCAATTAATCAGATTCAAAAACAGATTTTGTGGCATCGCACTGGTAATACATATATTCAAACTGGCATACGAACAATCGGATCTAATGAACAAAACAGCCAAAAATCCGGACGACAGAATTCAGGCAGACAAAGTGTATCCATAAAGGATCTTATAGAAACTCAAAGAATTTACAACTTTGGCCAGCACACGTGGTCCAACAATGACCAACCGAATAGAAATCGACTTATTATGCCGAATAATTAAATTGTAAACAACATAGTATTTTAAATAAATAAGAGATATTAGTTATCACTCAGTGGAGCTTGGAATTATTAAGTTCCCGAAAAACAAAGTAATTTTTCCTAGAGAATCTGATTTGCTAATTTTAAGTTTTATTGTCGTTTTAAGTCGTTCTGAAAAATTTGACATCGAAAAAAGACAAAAGTATGTATGTAGGTAGGTGTTTTTTATTTAATATAACAAAAAAATGCTTGTATGTATGCCAGGCTTAACATAATAATACCGACTAAAACCTACGCTTTTCTATTTCTTCTGACCATATAATCTTTTGAAAAATTCAAACTGAAGATTATATTTATTAATTGAATTTAAAATAACAATAATATAAAGAACGCAACAAGTAAATGTTTTTAATGGAAAAGATTAATCTGATGTTTTAATCATAATTATATCATCATTTTTTTCTTGTGCAGGCTTTGTTCTAGTTGTAATTGAACCCTGAGATCGATAAAGAGCACTTTGAGCATGAATTTGAATATATTTGGGAATGTTTTGAAGACTTATTGAGAATCACTGATAATCTAGGCACTATTTATTTACCCAGCTGATAAAAAAAAATCAACATCAACAGCATAATTGGAATGATTGGTTTTAAAAATTAATTCACTATTAATCTCACTAGGAAACATTAAATGAAAATTAATTATATAACTTAAAAATTTTTTTAAGTTACGTAACATTAAACTATTTGTTTTAAACGATAATATTTTTTTTTACTTTCCGTAGGGTAATTAACTTCCCGTAGGGTAAGTTATAGTAATCGCAAAAAAATCGAAAATGAAAATTTTTATATAAGTATCTTTACTTTTCAAAGGTTTCTGAACATTTTGGCATACCTTAGAAAAAATGAATGTATGTGTGTGTGTGTGTTTGCGGATATAAATTTTCGTCGACGATTTCGGGAACACCGATCAACCGATTTGAATAATTCATAAAACATTCGATTCGTATTGATGAGGAGACGTACTGCTTAGTTTTTGGCAAAAGTAGATCTAGCCGTTCCAAAGATACGGGGTAATAAGTGCCAACAACGGTAACTCAGTTATTAAGAGAAGGAGCGTCCGATTCTAATAATTCAAAAAACATTTTATTAGTATTGGCAAGATGAAGAACTGATTAAATTTTTGGGAAGGCAGGTCTAGCGATTTCGGAGATCCAGTAAAAAAAGGAAAAAAATGCCATTTGGCGGTCAAAAATGATCATTAGACATATCCACATCAAATTATCAGATATTTTATGGAGATTTTAATAATGTGTATCAATTTTGTTTACATTTCTAGGGGTTCCGGCACATCATTTGTCCGGTAGACGGAAAACGGCGCTCCGGCATTTAGTTTCTATGATGCGAAAGCAGTGCGATTGCTTTGAAAAAAAGGTTCAATATTTCCAAAATATTTCAAAATGAAAAAAATCATTTTTTTCCAAAAGTTTTTTTTTTTCAAAAATTCAATCGTTTTCAAAATTTAAAATTTCTCAAAAACCTATTTTTTTCCAAATTAAAAAAAAATCTTTTTTAAATAATTAAATTATTGGTGCGGGAAGTTCCAGCAATTTGCCTTAAAGCACGATGCTATACACCTCTAATTTAAATTTTAACGGCTAAATTCTGTTTATTTATCTTAGTCTTGATTCAAACCTTTAATTTCAGAATGGGAATTCAACTCATCGTTTGTCCGACAGATGGTGCTTTCAGAGCGTCCATCAGTATTTTAAAAAGTCAGTTTGACGTATTCGAAAAGTTGGGCTTGCATTGCTAAATTATATCAACAAATCCTCAAAAAATAAATGTGATTTTATTTATTTTAAAGAATTAACATACTCTAAAGTGCTGTATGTTTAACAGAAAAGAGTACGCTATGTAATATGTAATATATAACATATAAATTAAGTGTACTTGCAGTTCTAACCCTCATAAATAGATATAATTGATATAAAATATAAATAAAAATGGCACAAAGTTTACCCATGGAAATAATGGAGCCTGAGGAAATGATTGATTCTGAATTAGTATTTATTGTGCCCCCGGAAAGAACACAAGAAGAGTATGAAATGCAACATTTTGGATTCACCGCTAAAGGCTTTGTTGAATGTGGTATGGTAAATGAAATAATAAAATAAACATAGTGTATAGTATATATATATATATATATATATATATATATAGTTAATATAAAAAAACAATAAATTATAAATTAATCTTTAATTTCAATCGATATTCAATTTAATGTCATCATCAGTGGATATTAACTTTGGTAGCTTACATCTAAAGATGTGTACACAACACAAAAAATTAGCACTAACATTTATACAACTAACTTGTCAACACCATGAGTTTCTATTCTTTTTTTATATAAAATGTAAAAAGAATAATGTTAATTTTATTTTGCAAAAATGTAAAAAGTTGAGTAATTTCTGCAAGGACTTCTGTATCACATGGTGTCTGAGAATCATTTAATGATGTAAGCTACCAAAGTTAATATCCACTGATGATGACATTAAATTGAATGTCGAAATGTTTGGAATTAAAGATTATTTTATAACATTTGTTTTTTTTTTCTTCGATGTATCACCCTATAAGAACTTACTCGTATACCTCAACATCAAAAATAACTACTAAATCATATATATATATATATATATATATATATATATATATATAATGTATATAACTTAGTTTTCTTACAAAGTTTCTTGCAAATGTTATAACAAAGTTATTTCAGTCTCAGAAAATGTAGCTCTATCTATTTCATTCTTTGTTTCGAGGATATGTGATACCTTCTTTGTCAAGGACTTTGTTTAATTTAGAAAACAATTTAATTTGTCTTACTAAGAATCATATTATATTCTTGTTAAAAAATATATTTGAATAGTTGAGTTATCAAGTTTAAAATGGTATGTAGAAATACTCTACATTCCTACATACTCACTACGGTAAACATCTATAGCTTTATGTATTTTCAAATTTAATTTCTAGTGAATGTTTGAGTTTGATTTTTAGTAAGACGAATTTAAACAAATGGTATTTGAATTCAATTCAATTTTAATGCGAATATTGATGCTAAAGGGAAGTTTACACAACTATCCAACATTGAATAAGAATTTATCGAATTTAAGTTTTGAAATTGAAGAGAACAATTATGTTCTGGTATATTTATTAAGTAGTAGACAATATTTTTATTTGTATAAGGTCACAGAATTTGTTCATTTAGATTTCTAGAATGAATATGCCATTTAATCTATTTCTAAAGTATTGACCGAGTGATATATTAATGATAATTATTATTATTAATTAATAATATACATATATATATATATATATATATATATATATATATATTCATGATTCTGAATTTAATGCTGACATATGTATTAAAATCTAGTAATCGGGCATAACATCAATGAAAACATGAATTTCTTTCAAAAATGTATTTTAGATTCATACATTTTGGCTAAAATCCTAGTCTTCATTTAGTGGAAACTAAAAATAAAATTAAAAGCTAAATCAATTGAATTGGAGTGAAAATTAAAAAAATAAAAAGAGTACTTACATTTAGTTAATCTTAGTGTTAAATTAGAAGATTTTAATAATCCATGGTATCAGGATATGGTAATGTACTGCACTATGTAATATAAACATTAAATCTGTAATTAAACAATATTTCACAAAATACTAATTTAAAAAAATCACAAATAGATTGTGTATGATACATGTGTTTTCGTAAAAGACTTTTAAAAAATATTTTTACCAAGATTCTACAATTATATTACATAGTGTAGTGCAAAACCATATCCTGATATCATGGATTATTAAAATCTTCTAATTTAACACTAATTGTAAGATTAACTAATTGTAAGTACTATTTACTCTTTTTATTTATTTTCTTTTCCAATACAATATATATATATATATATATATATATATATATATATATATATATATATATATATATATATATATATATATTATATATACATATATAATATATATTAAATGTTAAATATGAATAATACAACACTCAGATTTTTAACACACACTTTATTTAATAATTACAGACGTTTCGAGACCATGGTATGCCTCATCTTCAGTGTAATTTCAAAAACAGTTACTTATATACTACACATTTTTTAATATTTCATTTAAATTACATTTAATTTTTGATATACAAAAAATTCCTTGCAATGCTTGACTCTGTACTAAAAAAACATGTGATACTTACACTTAAAGTGTGTGTTGAAAATCTGAGTGTTGTATTGTTCATATTTAACATTTAATATTCGTTCCACTCATATCACAAAATTATATATATATTATGTTTGAAGGCTTCTTTATCAATATTCACAATCGTTTCTCTAACTTTTCTTTCTTTGCAGTATGCCAGAATGCCGAACGCCATGCATCAACTATACTTCAAGAATTTGAAAATCAATACATTTCACAAAATGGTAGCAGTAGTGAATTTGCTAAATTTATGCAAAATTATAAAGAGGCTTGTCAACCTTCATTAGATACATTCAGAGAAAATATCAAGAGTTATGCACAAAAATATTTTGTCATACCATCCAATATTTTATTGCCTGGAGATGAAGATCAGGAGAAACAAATTACGGATGCAGAACATGAAAAATTAGATAAAGAAATTGAAATGTTGGAAGAACAAATAAAGGATGTAAGTACATCTTCGTTAACAATTGCATATATATTTGTAGATGTGTTAATTCTTGTATACCACGAATTCAAAAGCTAAAGTTTATTGAATCTGCATATTTCGTTTTACTCATTTGGTGAGAAAAAAGTAATCTGCTTATATAAGTAACACTAAATTATTACTTTGTTATTCATACAAGTGTTTTCTTCAACTAAATGACATTTTTGATATATGATTCTTATAAATAAATTTTTTAATTTGCGGGTTTTTTAATTCATATTATGCCAGAATTAAAAATTATATATATATATATATATTATATTAAAATAATTATATATATAATAAAACATAAAATATTATATATATATATATATATATTTATATATATATATATATATATATATATATATAATTAATATATAATATGAATTATATAAAATTATAACTTTATATTGTATTCATTATTATATTATATATTTTTATTATATATATATACGAGGTGTGTTCAAAAAGTACCCGGAATTACTAATAATTAAATTTCGCGGGTCTGGAGTGTCTGATTGTCAAAATTTTTTTTTATTGTGTTGGTATACATGCCCCTAAAGTATGATGAAATTTTCAGCTATATTCACTGTTTACTTTGTCTGTGGTAGTCGCTAAGGTTCGACGTGTTTTTCTGAGCTCGGCGATTTTTACAATGGAAGAATTGAAAAGTCAAAGAATTTGTATTAAATTTTGCGTAAAAAATGAAATAAAGTGAATGAAATATAATTTTGATGTTGAAATATGTGATATTCAGTTTTCAGGGCAATACATCAATTAAAAAATTTGTATGACTTTAAAACATTTTTATTTTTTCCATACGTTTTGACACATAGTTTTGTGTCATCTTCAGTGGACTATGTAATTGTAATAATCCTAATTATTTCCTAATTATAATTGTTCACAATGCACAATGAAACCAATTCTTGTCACTTTAAATGTAACAATAATAAATTTTTGAATGAGTTATTTTATGAATTTGTAAAATACATCCCGCTATACTGTATTCCGATGCAAGACTCTTGCATAGTCATACAAATTTTTAATTGATGTATTGCCCTGAAAACTGAATATCATATATATATATATATATATATATATATATATATATATTTTTATGTTTTATTATATTGTAGCTAATATATATAATTTTATATTATATTATATTATATTTTAATTTCAGGAAAACGTTGAGCAATCTGAATTAGAGAGGAATGAGCATCTATTACAGAAGTTACTTGATAAATCGGAAAAAAAGTTGGAACAAATAGAAAAAGAAGTCGATGTATTAAATGAAACATTAGATCACACTGATTCTGAAGAATTGGATTATATACTTGTACAAATTAAACAATATCTAAATACAAAGATTTAGAATGATTATAGTTTCATTCAATTTGTGATGTCTTTAATGAGTTATTTGTAAGTAAATCTATATTATTTATTTGCGTTATCAAAAATATATTATTTATTTGCGTTATCAAAAATAAGGAAATTGGTTGATTTTTGCAAAGATGTAAGCAATTATTATTACATATATATATATATATATATATATATATATATATATATATATATAAACAGTGAAACAAGCATATACACACATGTACAAATATATACTTGTCATCTCGTTATTTCTCATAAATTTTTGAAAACTTTTGAACAGATGGCAAGAGATTTATATAAATATATATTTTAATTTATATAATACCCCAATAATTTATATGTTCATAATTTTTTTTTCCCATAGAACTAAATACAGTAGAAACTCGATTAACCAGACTAATGTTATACTAAAGTATAGCATTAATCATGCAAAAATTACTCTGTTCTACTGTAATGAATTAAAAACGTGTTCTATTAAAACTTACTTCAAGTTTGATACATTTGTATCTTGGACATTTTGTCATACTCATTAAGAGTAGGATTCGATGATCCAAAAAAGCCAGCTTCAGCTAGTTAATTCAGAAAGAGCAGCAGCTTTAAAAACTTGCTGACAGAAGTTAAATGTGATTCCTAAAATTGATATATTTAAGATATTTCAAATCTCAATCATCATTACAAAATCTTATCGTCCACCATTACTAATTTTACAAGTATAAGTACTTTTTCCTCGGGTACCTTAGGCCTTCCATGAATACTCAAAGAAACAAAAACAAATTTTATTGGATATACTCATATATACATTCAACATCTAGATAGCTTCTCCTGAAAATTTAAATAAGTGCAGAAATCAAATAAAATAATAAACATGAAATTTTGATTTACATAGTTTATGTACGATTAGCGACCCTAGTTCAGGAACAGGAACTTTATGTTCAACTATTTTTTTAGATCTCTGTCTTGATTTAGATTCAGTCATGATATATACAATTGCAAAATTTAGAAATTAAAATTTTATATTTGAAATTGAGAGTGATGTTTATTCAAGATATCTTTCAGGTGAGCACATCAATTGACATCAATAATGGTTTCAATAAATATGTTATTTCTTCTTTAACTATTAGAATCCTGAACTGTATTATGATCTTCTTTGGAGTAGTATTTTCCTAAAGAATTTACCATAAATATACCTACCAATGTAATAGTCTTTCATAAACCGCTTGAGTCGGTTATATTTTTTCACTACAAATAACTAAACAACAAAAAAAAGAGTGCGCGTAAGTAAAACCTATTGGCTACTGTACAAGATGGCATTTAAGTAAAAATCATATACCAATTTTGAATAATGTTTATTAGTAATATGATAACACTCGTGATGCACACATTTATTAGTGCCAACCATTATACACATTTATATAATGACAAATTATAAATTTTATATTTATAATAGCATTAAAAATATGTATAATATTTAAAAACAATAATGTAATTAAAGTCATACTTTAAATATGACATAATCGGCTTGTCATTGTAATTAGCATTTCGAAATGAACCATCATTAGAGAAATGAAGTAATTGTATTTTTTTTTTTTTCGCTGGCGATATAATCTCATATTCTTTGAACAGCTGTAATATCTGTCTAGCCTAAAAAATATTTTCCATTTTAATAACTCACAAAGATTTATAGAAACTTTACAAATACAATTTACGAATAATATAGAATTTATTTCTAATCAATAAATTTACGTTTAGTACATGGCACAAATGCTTATAATTTGTTTTAATATTTTTCTAACTCAGACATTTTTCAATAAATCAAGATTTGTGCTACGATGTAACTTTAAAATGTTTATTTATCTATGCCGATTTCCTTAGTGATATCGGTACGCATACAACGTTGATGCCGGTACGCATATAACGACAGATCTCTATTTACATACACGACGACTAATCACAATCGACACGTAAGAAATAATCTCATCAGGAATGGTCCAGCCAATCTTTACCAAAAACTAATCGTCAAGAAACCCAACTAACGAGTCTTTCGAACAGTCTTTGAATGTGTCCATTCAAAATTTTTCCATTTTCTATTCAAAATTCATGTCGAATTTTTGGCTAAAACATGGGTAAAACGTCAGCGAATTGTACATTATAAGAATTGTAATCCTAATTATAAAAAAACAGCTTCACCGATCGTCCAGCAAAACTAATCAACAAGAGTCCTTATCGAGCAACATCCAACAATTTTTCTGATAAAACGTTGACGGTAGCAAATAAGTTTTACTTCAATGGCGTGTGAATCTTACGCGCACTCTTTTTTGTTTAAATTTCCATGGGCTTACTATACAGTAAGAAATATTTCAGTTTGTTTTATACCGTAGAAGAAGTTTATATTTTCTTAACTTTTCAAGTCATGCTAAATCGTTTGAGACCAAATTTGGAAAAAGTATGTATGTGTCTATGTGACCAGATTTTTTATCTTTTATAAACGGTTTCTCAAAAATGGCTTCACTGACTTCTAAAGTTAAAAGCCACTTGATGGGGACTCACGTTGGTTAGTTTTTCTCGAAGATCGATGGTACCAGGTGGAGCCGTTTCTTTAGAATTAGCAGAAAAGCGCAATTGGACTATATCTTGCCATTATGATATCATTTGGGAATCGTGTTGATTAGTTTTTACTTCGTTATTGATTGTTAAAAAAAAATGTTCTCGAATTTAAGGAAAACTTGTATGGTGATAAAGTAAGGTAGCTAAACTGAATTTATTTTGGTAAGAACAGTAAGTTAAAAAACTTTTTAAAAAATGGGCCTCTCTGGGCCATTATATTTGATGAAGGTTCTCTTTTTAAACTTGATATTGAATGATTATTCTCATGACCATTTTCACTCTCTGTGGTCCTATTGTGAAAGTAATTAGTTTTCCTATAGGAATGTTTTGGCATGTGTATCTTGTCATTGTATCATTTTTTTTTGAGAAATTTAAAAAATTTTAGTGTTTGGAAAGCAATTTTTGCATATGAATTCATATCACTATAGTTTTATTTTAGAAAATTTAACTTCTATTTACCCCACAGATGTCGGCAGTATGAGGTAGAGTAACGGTACAGTATACGTGGTAATCTTAGTTTTGTTGCAAATTTCAAAAACGGACAGTGAATTACCGTTTTGTACCAGTGTAGAAATGAACAGTGTGATTCTGTTACGGGCTAGCTTAATGTGTTAATGCTGGTTGCTCCTACTTTTCTGAGAATTTTGGATTTCATGTGAGTTTTACTTCTATTTTTATCACCAAATTTGTAAGCTAATGCACAGACGCTTAGGGGATTCGATTCGAGTGCATATGAGTTTGCAAGTCCAGCGCTTAACCACTTGGCCACATTGCCGGTGTTTAAAGGCAGGATTATTCAAATTTGTTTTATAGATAACCCTAAGCATTAAGCTGTACAGCTAAATAATTTAGTTCTGATAAAACACATTTTTCGAGAAGTTGACAATTTCGTGATTATCTTTAGTAAGTTTTAGAGATATTAATTAATTCACTAATTTGAATTTACAACTATAGTTAAACGTTATGTTTACTTATCTATGGTTAAACTTATTGGAAATGACAACATATTATTACGAATTGATAGTGTATGCTTTCAAAATTAAATTATTTTTATTTTATAATAATATTATGGTTTATTACGGCAACGTGCATATAATTGTGGTTTTACCATTTAATTCGTTTAAACTTTAGAAAGTTCATTGAAAAATTCTATTTGATCAATCTTTTTAGATCCGTAACAACATAACGAGGTTTTCACTGATATCCTTTATTTCGGTATACCCTAAATAGAGTAATCATTAAAGAATTCTTTTTAATATTTTCATAGTTCATACGAATGCGACATTATTCTGGATCAGGGTTGTTGTATCACTGCAAAACAACGAAGTCTTTAGTTGCAACATCGAAATTTTGTCAAAAAATGGATTTGTTTTCGCGATTTTTAAAACGTTTTGACTGATTTTAATAGATTTTGGGACGCTGATTTCGAAAAATGCTATCCGTTTTTAGATGAATGCACATACCTCTGCGAAAAATCATAATCTTTGGTTGCAACGTCGAATTTTTTGCAACTAAAATCGAGTTTGTTTCGCAATTTTTACAAAGTTCTAACTCGTTCCGATAAATTTTAGGGCGTTGATTTCGAAAATGCTGTCCGTTTTATAGATAAACTCCGATACATGAGTAGAATATCAAACTCTTTGGTTCATTTCAAAAGATTTTAGGACGGTGATTTTAAAAATCCTATTCGTTTTTGGATAAATCCACATACACTCCGCGAAAAATCGAAATCTTTGGTTGCAAAATCGATTTTTTTTACATGAATCGAGTTTTTTTCGCAATTTTCAAAATGTTTTGATTGTTTTTAATAGATTTTGAGACGCTGAATTCGAAACTGTAATCCATTTTTAGATAAATCTACATACCTCTGCGAAAAATCGAAATCTTTGTTTGCAAAATCAAAATTTTACTAATGAAATGAACATTTTTTTTCGCGTTTTTCCAAATGCTTTGACCTATTCTGATAATTTTCGAGTCGATGATTCCGAATATGAAATCAGTTTTTGAAAACAAAAATTTCTTCTATCTCTACGACCAACTTGAAGTTTGAAAAATTGCCAACTTTGAAGCTTTGTATTTTTTTTGGTTTGGTGTAAAGATTACTAAAATTACTAAAATTACTTACTAAAAAGTTACTAAAATTTAGTGCAAACTAGTATATATATTTGGATACTAAAATTTCGTATAATTTTTAATTGAAACGCGAATTTGTGTCTGTGTACATTTTATCAAACAACTTGAAAATTTTGTTCTAGGCATTTCAATTTATCCATATTGGTAAAAAATAGATAAAATTTAGATTTATAATTACTTAGATTTACTAAACCATATTACAAACATAGACTGCTATTCATGCTTTTTTTAAACACATTCTACTCAATTTGAAAATGATACCAAATTATTCGATCATAATAAATGATGTATTCTACAAATTCATTTGAAGTTGAATCCATGGACTATCTATGCATTTTCTAAACTTTGGAATTGATCCTATTTTAGATGCATATCCTTAGAATAAATTTTGATTCTTATTACAGGTGCCTATGACTTATAAGAATGCCTTAAAAGGAACCTTACAACCACTAATTGGACAAAATCTTTTTGATAGAAAAGACAAAATTATCCTGTTTGATGAGCTTTCAGAGCGTGTATCATCAACCAAACAACGAAAACTTTGTGTGCAACATCGTAATTTTAGCAAAAAAAATAGATTTGTTTTCGCAATTTTCGAAATGTTTTGACTGATTCCAAAAGATTTTAGGACGCTGATTTCAAAAATGCTATCCGTTTTTGGATAAATCTACATACACCCCGCGAAAAATCGAAATCTTTGGTTGGAAAATCGATTTTTTTTAAAAAAAATGACTTTGTTTTGCGATTTTCAAAATGTTTTGATTGGTTTTGATTGATTTTGAATCGCTGAATTCGAAAATATTATCCGTTTTTGGATAAACCCACATACATCCCCCGAAAAATCGAAATCTTTGGTTGCAAAATCAAAATTTTACTAATGAAATGAAAAATTTTTTTTCGCGATTTTCAAAATGTTTTGACCGATTCTGATAGTTTTCGAGGCGCTGATACCGAATATGAAATCAGTTTTTGGAAAAATAAAATCTTCTGCATCTGTGACCAATTTTATGTTTGAAAAATGGCCAACTTTGAAGCTGATTTTAACTATGAAGACGACGATAAATTTGTAATTTTTTTGGTTTGGTATAAATATTGTACTTTAGTCTACACAATGCATTCATTAAAATTATCAATTTCAATCATTAAGGGCCTTAAAATTGCATTTGAAAGTCATGATTTTGGCCAATTTTGGCTGCCCCTGATAGACCGGTTTTTTATCGAAAAAAAATAAGATTTTTAAATTACACTAAAGTAGGTTTGGTTTACTGCTAACCAGGCGTGAATATGAATTTATTAAAAATTATTACTATTTCCTACTATTTTTTATCTTTTATATATATATATATATATATATATATATATATATATATATATATACACATTTATATTTATATATATGCACATGTATATTATGTCAATTTTTGTAATACTGGCAGCACTCAATAAGTTTAATTATTTATTTATATATCTTATTTATTTACACAGCTAGAAAAATTATTGAATTTAATTTTTTCTCGAATTGTTATTCTGTCCTACACCGACCGTATCTTTACGACCTCGGCCATTCGCACAATTGGCACACAACTTTTTCAGGAAGCTTATATCTTTCATTATCAAAATAAGACTTTATATTTTTGCAAATAGAGGAGGGTTCTTTATAACCAATTGGCCGAGATCGTTAAGTTGCCACTACGGTTGCTCATTGTTTCTCGGTTCAAATCCCCAAGATGCTTGAAAATTCGAATGTATAGTTTTTCATAAATATCAAATATTAGTTCAAAATATTAAATTCAGGTGTCGCATTTCGACCTTGACACTTAGTATATTTCTGAAAAACAAAAAACTCAAGTTTCGCACTTGACTGTAAGAGAGATACATAAAGACAGAGATGACGATGGTAGAGGAAGAACTGGGGAAAGAGAGGGGGTAGAGGCAGATGATGAATAAGAGAGATGTGTATGATACATATTCTTTATTAAATTTCAATATTAATACAATATGAGAATGAAAATAACTTTTATCATCAATAATTCAAATAGCCGAGCGGTTTAAGTGACCGCATACTCGGTGAAATCACTCTGGAGGCACAAGGTGAGACGGATCGAGTCCAGCTGCAGGCGACGACGACCAACTCTGTAGCAGAAAAAATGGAGCAGTGCTGGTGGCTGGCAGGCGCAAGAAGGGTCCTGAAACGAACACACGAAGTGATGGTCAACCTGAGGTCCATGATGCGCGAGGTTACACGCAAGGGAGACACATTGCGGAAGATGCATGCCGAATCCAAACATCTACCCAAAAACCACAACATGCAAAAAAAAATTAAAAAAAAATGAAAAAAAAGGAAAAAAATGGGAAAAAAAGGGGAAGGAGGAGGAGGAGGGGAGGTGGAGGGTCCAAAAAAAACCCCCCTAAGTCCTATTTAGCGATTTCACTCTCCGGTTCAGCGTTGGAACTTTTTTATGTTTTTTAGTGTTCCCTCACACCAATTCCCAAAGCCAACACTCGAATGAAATGAGGTCAACATTGAAATTTTCACAACAAGAAAAAATTACTGGGACTTAGTTAAAATTTTTAACTTTGCCCCAATAAATTTTTCTCGTTATGAAATTTTCAATATGGGTCTCATTCATTCGAATGTTGGCTTTGGGATAATATAGCATGCATAAATAACTCGTCTGTCTTAATCGAAAAGGTTTCAGAAAATTTGGACTTAGAAAAAAAAATGATTTGAAAGGACTTAGAAAAAAAAATTACTCGAAAAAATTATAATCAGAAAATTTAGACTTAGAAAAAAAAAATTCTGAAAGGACATAAAAAAAAAAAAATATTCGAAAGAATTATTTAATTTATCGATGAAATGAAGTGATATTAATCAAATCAAAATTGTTTATATGACTTGATAAAACATGTGAAACCTTTACAATTAATCGAGACAAAAACAAATGTAATTGACTTGAATAATATACAAATTATTGGAAAAAGCTATAAAAGAAATTCAATAAAACTTGTAAAATAAAATAATCAAAAATATTCAAATGTGAATATTAACTACTTCAAAACTGTTTAAATCTGATTGTTATCCTTTAGAAATTGAGTTAAATAATTTTTACAACTTGAATCAAATGATAAACTTGTTAACAAAATTATGTTTTGTCTAATCATTCAAGTCAACTCTCTGAAACTTTGATTGCATGTCTTGATCAAAATTGTTTTTATCAATAAAAGAATAAAAATCTATCATTTAGCTACGCAGCAATATAATTGAATAAATTTAAAATTAAACTACAGTAAAAGACTTTTAAAAGCTGCATTTATTAACAATTTGGTAAGTTGTATTGATTATTTGAAATATTTTGATCAAAACCAACAATCGTGTTATCCATAAATAAGAATGTACATGCAGACAATGTCGTGACAGGGAAAACACATGATTCTTGATACTGGAAATATCAAATACAAATACAAATATTTTTTCTGTATAATAATGAACAAGTTTGATAAAAAAGAGATTTTTGTAACAAAGTAAATTTGTAATTTGTAACAAAATACCATCAATTTAGGAGTTACCTAAGGAAGGATGCTAGGACCCCTTCAGCAAATAAGTAATCGATGCTTACAAAAAGCTGTATTAGTTAACTAATAATTTGGTAGTAAAAATTTAATATTCATATAAAAGTTCTGAATTCCACACAAAATCAGTTTATAGTATTTATAGAGCAAAAGAATCTCTGGTGAAATATTATTATGATTATTCAGCATCTCGATACATAAGAGAAATAGAAACTTTTCTCTTTTATATATATTTAAAACAAGTATAAAATGCACTTGAATAAATAAATAAAAAAACTGAATCAACATGTTTTCCCCATAACAAATTAAATAAGAACTTAAGTCTTTTACACATATGTCTGCCAAATTAATTTAAAATCTTTTATTCGCACAATAGTTGTTGAATAAACAAAAAATAGATTGTATAAGGTATACTATGTAAAAAATGATATTGACTCGAATATTATGATATAAACTATATTTTCAGCAGATATATGTATATAATTATATTAATAATGCACGAGCCAGAAAATATTCCACTAAAATATATACAGACTGCTTTATAAATGATATTGAATAACAAAGTGACAAGTTCTCAAGGCACCTTTAAACTAATTTTCATTTATTAATTTCATTTAATATGAAAAACAAGCATTAAATTCATAATTAATAAGAAATATTATTGTTACAAACATAAAAAGTAGCATGTAATACAAACTAGGTCAATAATTGTAAACTCCTTTCAGAACATAAATTAAAAGTAATATCTTTTTATGAATTTCTATTGAGATTATAAATCATCACTAAAGATGACAAACAATATTGTGTTGAAGTAAAGATTTTCAAAATCATTTGACTGCTTTAAATTCAAAATTAAGAAAAACTTAATATATATATATATATATATATATATATATATATATATATATATATATATATATATATATATATATATATATATATATATATATATATATATATATATATTATTTAGTAGTTAATTTTGATGTTGAAATATATGAGTGAGTTCTTGAGGGCGATACATCAAACAAAGAAAAGACAAAGATTTATAAAATAATCTTTAATTCCAAACGTTTCGACATTCAATTTAATGTCATCATCAGTGGATCTAAAAACAGTATGAAAATTAGTATATCTAGGTAATTATAATATAGGTGGATTGGTATAGTAACTATACAATAAGAGAAAAATTAACAAACAGCAACACTTAACAACAAACAAAATATAAAAGATAGGAAAGGTAATAGAGACTAGAATTAAATAAATAATTAAAAAATATAGGCAAAAATATATAAGTACACTCACAGTGTACTTTGAGTGTACTTATATATTTTTGCCTATATTTTTTAATTATTTATTTAATTCTAGTCTCTATTACCTTTCCTATCTTTTATATTTTGTTTGTTGTTAAGTGTTGCTGTTTGTTAATTTTTCTCTTATTGTATAGTTACTATACCAATCCACATATATTATAATTACCTAGATATACTAATTTTCATACTGTTTTTAGATCCACTGATGATGACATTAAATTGAATGTCGAAACGTTTGGAATTAAAGATTATTTTATAAATCTTTGCCTTTTCTTTGTTTGATGTATCGCCCTCAAGAACTCACTCATATATATATATATATATATATATATATATATATATATATATATATATACTTAATACATATTAAGTTAAATATTGAATATTGAAAACACTATAGGTGCAACAGATATAGTACGATAAATACCTGTATATAATTCTTGAAAAATATTCTTTGACTCGCTATGTATAAAACATGCTTTGCACTTACATTGTTAGATATCCTCTGCAGCAGCTCCAAAAACTCAAAGAAATCTCAAGTACTCGACACAATATCACTACTTTAGAACCACTACATAACTTTGTCTTTTACAAGTCTATTTGACATTTTACAATTGTCCGACTAAATTCTCTACGAAACACACAAGACACGACTTACATTAGAGACTTTTGTGAACTTAAAATTGGATAATGTGGAAATGCGCTACCATAACCTACGAAAGTATACACATTTATATATAAATTATACAATTGCTAATTGCATATATATAGATAAAGGATACATCAGCACTGAAAGTAGAAGGTTTAATTATAATATTGATTCGAAATGGGGGTCCTGAAAGAGATAATTATTACTATTCAAGGTACACCTATGCATTTCCACACATATCCCTTTTTTTAACTTTTTACAAATGTTGCACGATATATTTTTTATGTCAGATTGATCTACAGATTTAATTAAACGATTTTATGCACAATTTAATTAAAACTAATCAAGGATTTAATTAAAAACTCTTAATTAACGCGAGATTAAGTTCATTCCAAAAATCTCTTGACATTTCAAGCAATTGAAGTTAGCCAAATGACCGCTGCCCCAATCTTGTACAATTTAAAGCGCGAATTTCAAACAGAAAATTTAATCTACAAAAATTATGAAGTATTGTTATATAAAGTATAGCGTTCAAAGTGAATAAATTTTCTTGAAAATATAATTTTTCTTAGTTAAAAATGTTTATGAAATTATTTTAGCTCATTAATAAATATTTGATTTCATTTTAATACTTAAAACGAGCTGAAAATATAAATTATATACTATAAGCTTTTATAATATGATAATAATAATTTATACAGTTATCGAAGGCTCAAATACAATTCTAATTGCCAGAACATAATTATTACTAAATAAATTAATAAAAAATTAACATGCTTTAAACACTTCATTTACCTCTAATATTATGAGAATTTCTTATGGAAAAAATGTAAACATTGGTACGAAACCCATAAAAATGTTAACAAAATATATACTTTTTATTAAAATCTTTATGAATTACTGATAATTTGATGTCCAATGATCATTTTTGACCGCCAAATACCATTTTTTTCACTAGATCTCTGAAATCGCTAGACCTGCCTCCTCCAAAAATGTTTTTGAAATTTATGAATCGATAATATCTTGTATAAATTCAAAGACTGTATTCCATAGATTTTCTTCAGAATTTTTTATTTTATATTTTTTATATAGTTTTTTTTTATTTAATTATATATTATTTTCATATCTCAGTCAGACAGGGGTATCTGGTATGAGAGATTATGAAACAATTGTCTTATTTTATATATAAGTATTTATATTTATATATTTATGCTTATTTATTTATGTATATCTATGAATATATATATATATATATATATATATATATATATATATACATAGATAAATAAGCATAAATATAAGCATATATATATATATATATATATATATATATATATATAAACTTACATTTATGTCTTTAAAGTATTTAACTTACGTTAAATTTCATTTACAGTATTAAAACATTTACAGTTGAAGAACTAGATATTATTTTCTACATAATATCTAGGCCTAGTTTGTTCAAAAAAAAAAGATTTCATATTTTGATTGCACCTATATACTAAATTATATACATACAATTCATTTATAATTTCACAAAGTCAACCTAATTTCCTAGTCAACCTTTCTTTTTATCAACTATTAAGTAATCAGTATTATAAAGCATTGTGTATATATTTGATAATAATAAATCTATCATTACTTTACTTTACTAAAATATTAACTTATAAACGACTGACTAGACATTTTCAGACTAGATTATATCAGAACAAAGCCAATATCAATAATAAATGGAATATAAATTGAAAGCATTATTAAATTGAGATCAAAAAGAATGCAACAAATATAATTTTGTAATTAATGAGTATTGAAAAATTAAATTACAATTACAAACTTATACTAAACACAATCACATATTCTTGTAAAACTATAGCCTAGAGAAGTATCCATCTTATAATAGAAAATTATTGCTCACAAACGGCTCATATATAGCTTTGAAATCATAAAAAATATCTACTTAAATCTCTAAATGAATGCATAATTATATTCATGAGAGTCAATAAGTTAGCAGATGGGTATGAGTATTTAATTTAATTACATTAAATATAAAAATTGTAAATTTTGAAAACTTAATGCAGGAGAGAACAAATTCATTCTACTAACTGGAATAGCATGTGGTTTATTCATTATGAATGATTCAAATTAAATTTAAATTATTTATAATGCATCTGCTTTTTACTGTGTTATGATATAATATATATATATATATATATATATATATATATATATATAATCATCTCTTTGACTAAATTTGGAAAACGCTTATCGATTGTATAAAAATATGCTCATAATGTAAATTATTAAATAAATATTTATATTTCTATTTTCAATAAATAAATAAATACTAAAACTATTTGATAAATAATTAATTTATAGTATTGACTAGATATATGAGAACTAAAATAATCACAATTGAATAAAAATAAATTAGAAGTAAATATTAAATCATTATTACTATAATAACATGTAACTATTATTTTCACCTATAGTAAAGTCTCATCTAACTTTGTTATTCTTAAAGTTCGAACGAATCAATAAATAAATAAATAAATAATTAAAAATATCACATATAAAATAAATATATATATCAGACCAATATTGTTTAATTAATATTAATTGGTTACTGCTATTAAGGAGATCATAATTATTTCCATTCTTTCTGTTCATTTAAAAAATATATATATAAAAAAAGACAACTGAAAAAATGAAATGATCAACAAACGACTGCCAGAGTATCAAATAATTAATTAAAAAAATATTCGAAGTAGTGTTTTAAACAATGCTTATTTCGTTTTCAATTCATATTTGAAAAAGGCTTGCTTTCAATAAAGCCAAATGGCAATTAATAGATATTTTTAAGAAAAAGTATTTTACAAATGCTTAAATTTTGTGGAATGTGTAAATTTCGATTGTTCTTGTTCATAGTTCATATAATTTTTTTTAATGTTTAAAATAAATAATTTAAATAAATATATCACAAACATTTATAGTTAATATCTTTTCATAATATCAATAAGTAGCTGCTTCAAATCGAGTGTTAGGAAATTATATAAAAAAAAACTTATAAAAGTTATTCGACTAGTATTATGACCAGCCTAAACCAGTTGTTACATCATAAATTTTGAGGTTTAATCAAATATTTTAACTTAATTTTAATAAATGAATAGATAAATACTAAAAGTATTTAATAAATGAATTATTTGCAGCCTTTACCAGCTATGATGTAAAGATAAAATAATTTTGAATTTGTTGGTCATTATACATAAATTTTACAGTACTTTAGACTTGATAATAAATTTACCATGAAAAAATGAATGCAAGAGTATCATTTTTTTAATCAGCAGTATTACATTTGCAGTATGTAATTTTTATCCATTAACCACGATATAACAACTGGTTTGAAAGCTATTATTTCTAGGTACTAAGTTGTATTCTCACCTAAAAGCACCCAACGGTTGCATATTTGTTGTGAAAATTTTGTTCACCGGTTCATTGTTATTCAAAACTGGTACCATTTACCGGACTGGGACTTCTGGATTGATCTTTGGACCAAGTGTATCCACTTTTGACGGAAATCGCTGGTGAGCAACTTCTTTCTGAACTCCAGGAGCTCATCGAAGACGGCGAAGATGGTGTCGCTCGATGGTAGGGTATTGGCCTTTTCCTTGCACTAAAGATAAAAATGGAATTATTAAAACAATTTATACAAAAGGTAAATGTTTCACAATTTTGAAAAACATTTATGATTTTATAAAGGAAAAAACCAAAAATTATTATGAGAAGCTACTAGGGTCATCCAAATCATTTAACATAGATGAATTGAGCCAAAAAGTGCAGACTAGAAAAAACTATTTAATTTAAAGTAAAAGGTCTGGAAAAAATTAATAATGGTATTTCATTAAAAAATGTCAAATCATGGTGAGAAAGAATCAATTTATATTCCTACCCATCAATATTGGTTTTCTAGAATAAGGCCAATACGATAACTTGTGATAATATCATCCAAATATTTTTCGAAAACTCCTTATGTTTTGTAATTCATTGCTGTTTTTTTTTGTTCAGATAACTGATAATTTCAAATTTTACCATATATATATTTTTGGAAAATTTTAAGATATATATACTAAAAACTTTATTATTATTACTTCAAGCACAAAATCAGCATGCACTTTTAGCAACTAAATTATAAATTTAATATAACAAAAATTCAAAACAAATCTATTTAATAAACTGTAAAAAAAAAGATTGTATATTCGATACATTGAGAATACAATATTATATAAAAATAAAAAATTAAAAACAACTTACCAAATGATGACAAACTAAATCATGGTGTCTACAAACTGGAAAACAACTGAAGAACACATAAAAGCTGCATAAATTATATGAAAATAATATGTGCAAGCTGCTGGCTACAACAAATAACATTCGATTCTTGATCTTGTAACACACTAAATAAAAATGTTGAAAATACAAAAACATATAAACATTATATAATAAAAAAAAATAATGACTATTCAGAAACTACTACAGATACAATAGTTTTCATAGATGGTCACAACTTGAAATTTAATGAAATCAAAGTTGATGGTATGAAAACTATCCTTTCATGCCAAATTTCAACATGAGCAGCATCAATTGTTGTTCTTACAAAATGTATACAAAAAGCTTAGATTTTTTTTGAGCTTGAATCAGTAAGTAATTTTACTGAATTTAAATAAAGATTCCATGAAATTTCATAAATTCACTTTAGCAACTGAAGAGAACACATAAAAGCTGCATAAAAGCAGCAATTTTTATCTAAAAATAATAGAATACTACTCGATGACAAGTATGTTGCTATCTGAAAAAATAAAAAATACAGATAATAAAACTGCATACAAAATAAAGCAAGAATATCAAATAAAGTAAATGCAACCTATTTGGCGTCTTACCTAGTTAGGCCAATAAATCCTAGTTTGTGATGAAGTAAATTTATCTAGTTTAAGTTTAATTATAATTATTTATCTATGATATAAAATAGAGTTCAAGTTAAATTGCAAGCTCTCATTTTAAATACTTATTATACCGGCGCAAAACAGATTGCATTTGCGAAATTTTAAATAAAAATTAAACAAAAACGTAAAATAGATACAAAAACTATGTTTTATTTCATACAGAGGTCAATTCATATATGAATTGACCTACAACAATTAATTATCAATACAATATACATTTTTACACACATTTTAATATACATATATGAATATGTATACAAAATATATAAAATAACTCTTGTATAATATATTTTTTAAATTGCTAAGAAAACACTAAATACTATGAATAATTATAGTATTAAATTAGGCGCCAATTAAAAAATATAAAAACTCGGGTTTCTTGAAAATTGAGAAAAAAATTGTATGATGTATCACGATTTCCTGAAATCCGTCTTAAAAGTCTTAAATAGTTATCTTATAGATTAAATTAATACGCTCTCATTGAATTGAATTTTAAAGTCGCAACTATCATAATATAATCAGCAGTCATTAATTAAAGTAACAAGTTAATTTTTAATTACATATGTCTAAAATCGGACGCCTTGGATTTGATAAATCGTTAAGAAAAATTACTTACGATACAAGTTGATTATAAATTCATTATGAATCGTCTAGGAAATTTCATTTCGTGTCATATAAACTATTAAATTCAGTTAAATGGATATTATATAAATCAATAACTTATTCCTAATTTATAGAAACAGTCAAAATATTTCATTTCATAAATCGTATCAATTAAATCACACTCAACGTGCTAAACTTTCAATCTACTTTCAATGCTTTCTTTCTTTGCTGAAATAAAAAAAAATAAAAACAATAAATAAAATATAAAAATATACTAATGGATCTATCAGTAAAAATAAATCTTTTATCAAAGAGTAAGTTTCTAAACAGACTTTTCTAAGTAAAATTTAAAAAAATATTAAATAAATATTATAAAAAAGTAGTTGTAAATTAAGGGCAAGAAAAAATTGAAAATATTTATTTTTATGAATAGATCCGTGGTCTATCATGCTATAATAAGAACATATAAAGTCTTTGAAGATATTCATTAAATTTTGATTTTTCTTTCTCTGCGTACTAATGAAATGCTACTTTATTCAGAAAAATAATGCTTTCCACCAAAAAAAATAACGTTAATATAATTCATTTTTGCTGATCTAAATGTAAAATTTAATGCACATCTTCTTAAGAATGCAAATGATATTTGATATAAACAAAATATTGAAGAAGAAAACTAACAACGACTAATATTATACATTGAAAACGCATACTGAAAAAAATATAGTGTAAAAAAGAAATAGATACTGTTAAAAATATTTGGATTTTAAAAATGTACACATAAAAAAGCATACTCTTGTACAAAATATTTGAATTTGCATAACATACTTTAAAAAGCATAATTAAAAATATTTATATATTGGAAAAGCAAAGATATGTTCTGCAATTTTTAAAAATTTGTCATATAACTGCCAAATTATGTTTGCGAAAAAACAAAAATGTTTCAATCTTTGTAACAAGAATATCGAATATGCTTAAATTTTATCATTATTTTTTCTCTAAATAATTTTAATAAGAATGAATCATTTATGAAATATCATAGCAATTATGTAATTATTAATAAAACGCATATTTCAATTCAAAATTAGCAATAAATCTGTGATAATAGAAACAAAAAAACAATAAGATAAAAGCTGAATACTGAAATAATTCAATGTAATTTAAAAACGCATTATAAAATTACCTCGGATTAAGTATTTTTCATAAAAATATTACTATTTTATATTTTCAAAAACTATTGCAATGATATATATATATATATATATATATATATATATATGTGTGTGTGTATGTGTGCGTATATATATATATATATATATATATATATATATATATGTAACAATTCTATATTAGACCATTACCTTGTGATTCTGCGTCTATCAAGAAAGCTAGGTGACCCATGTCTCCTCGGTATGCTTGGCGATCTAGACCTGGCAGGAGTTTTTGACCTATTGGATCTATTAGATCTCCCTGATCTAGACCTACCTCCTCCAGAAGAACTAGAAGTGGTAGATGAAGCTGAAGAAACAGAAGATGTGGTTGAAGCGCCAGAGGAAGAAGAAGAGCGACTCGAACGAGATCTTCTGGATCCCTGAGATCTTGATCGCGACTTTCGAGATCTTTCAGATCTATGCGAAACTTGCGATCTGCGAGATAACTGTGACGTATGTGACTTGTGAGATCTCTGAGATCGAGATCTACTCCTTCGCTGATCGGGAGATCGGGATCTGGAACTGTCACGAGATGACGCTGATTCCTCCCTACGCACTTTGCTTCTAGACCTAAACGCAAGCGTGTTTATTAAATTTGATAATAATTCATTGATAAAAAAATCTATAATTGCTTATAAATGACTACCTTTCAGTGGAACTTCTGGAACTACTTCTAGACTTCCTGCTAGCTACATGTTGCATTCTATCGTCTTCTTCGTCACTCTTATCGCTTGTATCACTATCCTTTTCAGGAAGAGGAACATCATCCAGCCTGCAAATTCTGTTATCAATGCTCTTCACACTCCTAGTATCACTTTTACGATCCGGCGTATCTTCTCTTTTACAATTTTTCACACTTTCAGGGCTTCTGGTATATTTTGACTCATTGCTTTGGATATCATTTGTTTTAGAGTCATTTTCAATTTTAATATCTCTGCGTGGTTGAGGATAGGAGGAGAGTAAGATCTATCGTTACTTTCCTCCAGATGGTTGTTCTTACCGCTTCTGCTATCCTTTTCTGCAATTATTTTTGCAAACTCCGCCACTAAATCGTCATTCCTCGTCGAGTTTTCTTTGCGATCCTTCTCTATTTTTACCTAAAAATTAATTAAATATGATTACAGCTTTATTCAAGGTGATAGAAATGTTATAATTTTAGTCTAGTTACCTTAGCCTTAGCTGCAAGATCAGTTTTAAGTAAACGTAAATATCTAAGTTCCTTTTCTTTATCCTCATCCACTTGATTATGATCACCTTCATCAGAGCTAGTATCCTCATCAGAAGATCTTAATCTTACTACAGGCTGTTGCTGCACAGACTTTTTGGTTGAGCTAGATCGCGATCGTTTACCATCCCTAGACTTAGATCTTACTTTCTCTACACTTCGACTACGAGACTTCGATCTACCTCGTTTAGAGG